AAGGCACCTGATTTTCTGGGTCATGGACTTCCTCAAAGAAAGCCCAAAAGCTAGTAATGAGAGGGGAGATGTACGTATAAACACATAAATTACCTAAAAATAGAAGAAAATGCAGTGTAGTGCCACATACTAATAAAATGTGATTTCCTAGGAAAGTAAAGATAAACCAGGGGGCTGTGACTGTGGCTTAGAGATTGACTGTTTTCTTAGTATGCATGAAGCTGATGCATGTGTGAGAAATAGAAAGCTGGAAGTCCATTTTTGGAATATAGTATTTAGCGTTAAGTGGAATGTAAGATCCAATTGTAGCCATTTTAATATAACCCTTTCCTTTCCCTGCCACAATTTTAAAATTAGCCAATCAGGTAGATTGAAACCCCAAGCTCCTCCTATCAGAGCAAGGGGCAGTGCTGCATTAGGGATAAAAACAGGTGGACTGCCCACCCAATGTGCCCAAATGTGCTTGCTTGGCAGCTTGGGTAGGATGCCCTCCTGCAGAAGTAAAGTTTGCCTTGCTGAGTTACTTTGGAGCATGTGTTTGATTCATTATGGCACCCCTGTATTTTTAACACATGTGTTCCTAGCACCACCAAAAAAAGAAAGAAAAAAGAAATTCTTTCCTACCAATAATGGCAGGAAAAACATTTCTCAAATATTAGTACAAAAAAGATACCTGTAAGGAAAAAACTGAATGAAGAAAATAGAGAAGAGAGATGGCTCAACTTCAAGACAAACCAACCTGTGGAGGGGGACCCAGGAGAGAATGAGATCCATCTTCCCTTAATAGCCTGGAGTAGATATAGGGGAGTGAGGGAGTGGGGGAATTTTGCAGTTAGGCCATTGCTATGGGGTTATCAGGGAAGGGGCCTTGTGGACATCACCTCCCTTCTTTGAGGTGGTTACTGTTCCATGTCAAACCAGGTGTTTTGGGGATTCTAGTCTTGGATAACAATTTCCTTTCTTTGCATGGTGATGGAATACAATTTGGGTTTTTTTTGCCTGATGATGGAGTATAGTCTGGGGCTTAGGTCAGGCTGAGTCAGAGTGACCTTCAGGTGACTCTTGTTCTAAGATGGAGGATATGTTTCAAAATGATGTTGCCTATGTCAAGTTCTACCTAACAGTACTACGTCCATATGATATGATAGGGGGATTCTATCACCTACATGAATAAAGAGCTATAACTTGGGAAGCCTCAATGTAATATAGATGTCAAACGTTACCCAAATCATCTATAAATACAATGTAATTCTACAAATGTCTTAATAATATTATGAAAGTCCATCTTGAAGAGAAGCAGCACAATAACAGCAAAGAAAATCTTAAAACAGAAGAACTAGAGAAAACTTGACCTTCTGTATACCAATATACACTATAAAATTGTAATAAGTAAAAATGTGTTACTGATGCAGAAATAGACAAATCAAATAAGATCTATATATGGTAATTTAGAATGACATAGGTTACATTTCAAATTAGTGAACTACTTGTTTAATTATATTAGAATAACTGATAAATGGAAAATATTATGTGAGCCTTACCTTATTCCAAATCCAAACATAATTTCCAAGTAAACCTAATAAGATTTCAAGGAAAGGTAATAAATGTATTACCTTTTTGAATTCTTAAGATGAAGAAAGTTTCCTTTGTACTGCTGTTATAAAATACTATAGGACAGGTTTTTTACAATTAACATGAATTTATTAGGCCCCAGATCTGGAGGCTAGGAAATCCAAGATGGAGGAGCCAGTGTCTGGAGAGAGCCTTCACGCTGTATCACCTCATCCAATGGCAGAGGGCAAAGAGAGGGTGAAAGAGCAAAAAGGAGCCCAACACATCCTTTTATAAGGAACCCATTGCTGCAGTAACAAACCATTCCCAGAATAGCAGCATTAATCAATTTGAGGACAACTCTTGTGGCTTAATACCCTCTCATTAGAACCCATTTTCAATGCTGCTGCATCAGTGATTGTGTTTCCAACACGTTTTGGGGGGGACACATTCAAACCATAGCATTAAGTATACCACATGACCCAGAAACTATAGTTTTATTTTTTTTTCAGTACCAAATGACCAAAATTTTTTATTTGACTAAATTCTGCGTCATGCATAAGCATGACAGTCTCCCCTGTTTATTAGACTTTGGCAATAAAAAAAACCAAGCAGCCTTTTACAGGACAGTGAAAATGCCAAGGGTGTCTACAGTCTTACTGTAGGATAAATAGATATATATTTAAAAGGCCTCTCTCCCTTTGGCCGTATCAGCTCAGTCCAGATCATTAAATATAGACAAGTTTTTCAAAATCACTTCTTTACTTCTCCAAGGTCTTCAATGCTGTCATCATCCACTTCTGGCCATTTTTCCTGAATGACATCAATTATGTCATCTGTAAAGTCCCCCTGAATGATGATTTCATCTTCCCCTGTTACTGAGGCACCGCAGGAGAATTTTTGAGCAAAAAATCTTTGTGCTTCTTTAAGATCAATTTCAAAAGTTGCAAGGCCACATACTCTTGTCACATATTTCTTCTTTGCTCTGGGAATTTTAGCTATAGTAACCTTTTGTGGTACAGTCTTCTTTTTCTGTTGTATTTGACCCCTTCCACCTCTCTTTTGTTTTTTCTTCTCCTCTTCTTCTCCTACTGTTCCTTGACCTTCATTAATTCCAGCTTCTTGTTTGGGTGAGTTTTCTACAGTGAGTTTTGCAAACTCATTTGGAAAATTCTTCTCTAACCACTGCCTACATTTAGCAACATCAGGCATATATTCACAGTACTCTGTTGGTAATGAACAGACTCCACAGTAAAGGACTCGAAGTGGGTAATCAGCGTCTAACTTGGCACTATTCCTTGGATCTCCTTTGCCATCAGCCCCACTGGATTCAGAAATGTCAGTAGCCATTTCACAAACCCAGGAGGTCGCACAGCGCTCGCCGCCGCCGCTCCCGCAGCTCCCACCCGCTGAAGCGACACATGCAACTCCTCTTTCCTAGCCAGGGCCTCCAGAGAGCCCGTCTCTAGTTTTATTTATTAACGTACAACAAAGGCTTTTTGTTCTAGTCCTTGGGATATACCATTAAATAATGCAAAAACCTTGCCTCACATTGAGCTTACATTTTACTATATATGTGAATATCTGAGCCAAAAAAATGCATTAATAGATATATAATAATAGATAATATAATAATAGATACCATGGAAAAAATAAAAATGGAGTAATAGTAGTGGGGAGGGTGGCCAGGGGAGGACTTGCTGAAGAGGACATTTGAGAGAGGTAACCAGATTCCACAGAGCATACTCCAGTAAGGCTTTTATTTAAAGGTACAATAAGAGATCTAAGTGTGGGGGCACATGTCTGTATTGCCAGCATTCAGGAGGCTGTTTCTCCAGTCTATTCCTCCTCCCCAACATCCTCTTTTCTGGAATTCTAAATTCTAAAGAAAGCCCTCTGAGATAAATTTTCTTCTCCTCAGTTTAAAAGATAACATGTGACTAGAAAAGCTCTGTGTCTATCTCTGAGGGACTCCTGGGTGGCTAGGGGCTTTACCCTTAGCCAAGATAAACTAAACAAATCCCACTCTTGGCAGTGGGATTTATGTGTGATTTAAACTGAAACTTGACTGATGATCCCTAGGGTCAGTTTCTTTACTCATGGATTTCTTTCTTTTTTGTATAATGACAGGTTTTCAATGAGCCTAAACAGTTAGTAGCTGGGCTTGATTGCATGACCAGAGCGATATTGAAAACTCCTCTGGGAACTTCTGCTTCGAGCTCTCCCATATCCAAGATGGTTGTATCCAGACAACTAAGTGCAAATAAAGGTCAGGTGACAACAAGGACCTTGGAGTACTTGCACTTCTTGGAGTCATATCTTCCCTATTGTATCTCCCTCCCTACCCCACCCCCAACACCGCCACCCTGCTTTTATTTTCTTCCTTTTGTTACTGGGAGGCACGACATCCTGCCCAGAGTAGGAAGAGACTAGGCTCCAGAAACATTTGAAGTCAAAGTGGTAGGAAAATGGGTTTACTCAAAGATAGCTGAGAAGGAAAATAGAAGAAACTTACTGGTTCAAAGTTTCCATATCTGAAAAGCTCTGGGGAAAGGGAGCCAGACTTATTTAGGAAGGTAGATACACATTCAAGGGAGAATGGGTGATGTCTCAAGAGTGAGAAGCAGCCCTCACTTGGGGTGAGAGTCCAATATTTATAGAAGAGCTGTACTGGGGCTAGACAGGAGGCAGATCCAGGGTGGAGCTGCACAATTTCCTGCCAGTTTTCTTGCACTTTCGTGTTTCCCTTATTTTACAAGAGCATTGGCCACTGGGCCAAGGTTGTGGGCCAGGACATGGGCCAAGGTTTACAACTGTGTTTTCTGCATCTCAGTGGATTGATTTTGCCTTTCAAGATTCCATATTTCTCTCTCATTATTCTATATCTCTATCTCAGTAACACAATTATACTAAGATAAGCAATATTTAAGAATGCTCAACATTTTAAGAGTGTCAAAAAAGGGAACCCTAATATACTTTAGAAAGACATGCACATAAAAGACAATATGATAATATTCTTTGAGCCAGCCATTGTACTTCTCTAACCTGTAGAAATATATAAGCAATCGAATATATCATCTAAGATTGTTATTTATTATAGCATTGCCTATAACCAAGAAAATTTTGAAACATTTAAAATATTGGTTAAATAAAATATGGTATTTGTACTATGGAATATTATATAATCCTTAAAAAGAAAATACTCCTTTGGGGCTGGGGTTGTGGCTCAGTGGTAGAGCACTCAACTAGCATGTGTGAAGCACTGGGTTCGATCTCAGCACTGCATATGGAATAAAATGAAGGTCCATCAACAACTAAAACAAAAATTGAAAAAAGAAAATATTTCCTAAGAAAGAATTCCACAATATCTTATTAAACAAAATAAGCCAACTGCATAATTGTATGAAAAGTATGATCCCATGTATGGTCTTTTAAAAACTACACATATGTATTATATTACAAGTTTAATATATATAAATTCATAATGTAAACCAAAACTTCAACAATGGTCACTTATACAAAGGGGAAGAAGATTAAGGGGAGTAAGCACAAAAAGAAACCATTCACTTTTATTCTTTGTATTTCTGTATTATTTGAACTTGTGCTACAATGAGCATGAGTTTTTGCCTCATTTTTTTTTTATGAACATGAACATATATAATATGAAGCAACTTTAAAAATACATAAACTTATTGTGGCAGACAGAAATGTGTTTTGATATATCAAATGTTAGCATTAATTATTTCTGGTTTGTGGATTTATACATGATATAAAATTTTGTTGCTGATCTGTATTTTAATTTATATAAAAGAATATATTATTAGTATGGTGAAAGAATTTACATATAAATAAAAGTAAAGAAGTTACTACTCTGTAATTTATAAATAAAGAAACAGACCCATGTATCTACAAAATCGGGCAAAGAAAATATATGAATAGGAAAATCACAAAAGAAGAAATATAAATGGTTAATAATCTTAAACTCTCTAAATTTTAAAGAATATAATTTGTCATAAAGTAAACCTTTAATAACTCACTAATTGTAATTAATGATTCTTATTATTACAACAATATATGCATAAGAAATCTGATTATGTGACCATAAAAAATGAGTATCACAGAAATCTATGGCCATTCCCAACAAAGTTCAAAATACTGAATGCAAGAACTTTTCACAATGATGCTGTTATATTCCACCAAAAAGGAAGCCTCTTCAAAGGGCACTCACTAAATCCCCAAGAAATCTGGCAGTCACAATTCTAACCTAGGAGGAATGGCTCCTCTGAGGTCAATAGCCCAGCAGGGAGTGCCCATTCCTCACAGAGGACTCACCTGAAGTTTGACTTTCTGAAAACTATTAATTACAAAACACAGTGATACTTTTGTTCTACATAGGATAAAAGGGAAGAGGACATGGAATAAGAATAGAAATTGAGTCAGGCACGGTAGCACAGGTCTTTAATCCCTGTGGCTGGGAAGGCTGAGGCAGGAGGATCTCAAGTTCAAAGCCAGCCTCAGCAACTTAGTGAGGCCCTAAGCAACTTAGTGAGAGCCTGTCTCAAAATGAAAAGTAAAAAGAGCTTGAGATGTACCCGAGTGGTTAAGCACTCATGGGTTAAATCCCCAGTACAAAAGAAAAAAAAAAGCAACAGAAGTTGAGCAGAAAAAAGGTCAGTTTTAACATTCCGAATCCACATTGTCTTCCACATCCTACCCATTTCTATCTTCCCCAGATTCTTATCATTGAAGAGAAATGGACCCCGGGGAGCTCAGTCTACACTCCCACCAATGTAGCCTTGAAAAAGTAAGCAACGTTGTTTTCATAGTATTTCACTATAGAAGTAATACATGATCTCAACAGAGAAATAAGAATGAAAATTAAAATCACTGATAATTCCATCACCCTAAAATAATCACTTTTAATATCTTGGTATATGTTGGTCTCTTATCATTTCTGATGTCATACATTCTTATTTAAGCATTCTCATGTAACCTGTAACATAAGCGTTTTTTTTCCATGTTGCTACTATCTCCTAGTGACAGTAATTTTATTAGTGATATTGTGGCTGTGTGGACGTATAACCCAAGAGTCTTCATGTTGGGAAGTGCTGAGGCACAGATGGATTCAGTAGTCAGCCATTGGGGACCATATTTTCTGTTGGTTTCAGGACAGAAAACATGAGGACTCACAGAGGTAACTCTGGAATAGTCCTCCTGCAGTATTCCCTCCACCTCTCCAAGGGGGATTTAGGCCAGTAGACACCAGATCCTTGCTTCTTTTGAATCTCTTCCAGAAATACCAGGGGTAAGACAATGGAGACTAAATTCGGTTCTGATAATCTGGCTCTTCCTCTGGAGCTTCCGGGTGCATGAGAAGTGAATAAGTGATTGTGTTCTCAGCCTAGGAAAAGCAGAAACACGCAGTGGAGATCCACACGGAGAAGAGGTCATGGGACAAACAACAACAGAAGAGACAGCAGGGGAGAGGGAAGGGACAGAAGGAAAAGGAGGTGGCAGGGGTTACTCACTCCAGTTTTGGCAGCATCCTCAGAGTCAGTGACATTGGCTGTGGGCAAAAAGAAGACAAATAAGCCCAGGCACTGCTGGAGAAGAGGGCTTATTTGTGCAGCTGCCAAGGCTACAAAAGCAAAGCCCAAACCAGACCTGAGTCAAGGACTGCTGACCCCAGCTCAGGCCTGTAGACCAAGCCTCATTCACCCACCCTGGAGCCTCCCAGACTCAGCGGTCCCCACTGTCCACGCTGGCAAAGGAAAGCAGTCTTTGCACCACATTCTTTTTAGAGAATTGCTGAACTTTCCTAGAAGCAAATCAGGCAGATTTGGGGGATCTGAGATATTGGGGAAGAGGATAGGAGTGTTCAGTATCAGAGTAAAATGAAGTCCAGATTTTTGAGGGCCACAGGCTTCAAAGAGGGAACACCAAAGCCATTTCTACATTGGCCAAATGCAATGCCTCTTCTTTGGGGACTTTGAAGAATCAGGTACACCATTGCTTCAAAAAGAAAAGAAAAAGTGAGGAAGAAAGAGGAGGGGAGAAAGAAAGGAAAGAAGTCAGAGAAGAAAGGAAGGCAGAAAAAAGATTCAAGAGAAAGACAGGATAAAAGGATGGAGGGAGGGAAATGAAGAAAGAAGATAGGAAGGCAAGAAAGGAGAAAGGGGGAAAGGAAGGAAGGAAAAGCAAGCAGTAGGCATACGGCACACTCCTGTGGTCCCAGCAGCTGGGGACTTTGAGGCAGGAGTATTGCAAGTTCAGGACCAGCCTGGGCAACTTAATGAGAGTCTGTCTCAAAACATAAAAAAGACTGGGGATGAGGTTCAGTGATAGAGCACCCCTATGTCCAATCCCCAGTACCACAAAAAGACAAGAAAAAAAGGCAAGCAAGGGGCAGGGACAGAACTTTGTCTGATAAATATCCAAATTCCCACCTAACACTTTTCACACTGGAAAAGTGAAATTAGAGCAAAAACATGTGGGAATTTGGATATTTAATAAATAAATTTTAGCTGCAGGGTGGGCTGAACACTGGACCCTCACTCATCTGTTTCCTTATCACTTGTTTGCCTCAAGGCTGAACGCTCAACCCCCACCCTTCTGGTGGAACGAAACCCACATCTGGCCCCTGCCTGGTCTGCCTGAGGGCAGAAGATGACACCCTTAGCAATTACTGTGAGATCCAATCACTGTACGCCAACAAGGCAGCTTGCTGACCCAGAGACCCCACTAGATTTTGACTATAAAAACTCTCTCTTGCTGGGCACCCCGCCTCACTCTCACTCTCGCTTTCTCTCTCTCTTCTCTCTCCCTCTTTCTTCTCTTTCTCTCTCTCTCTCTCTCTTCTTCCTTCTCTGTTTATCAGACACCGCCTCAATAAAGATCTCTTGGTCCCTCCGAGTGTTGTGGTCACTTTCCTTTCAAAAAGCAGCCTCAGTAATCTATAAATCATCATTTCCCTGGAAGTTGGGGAGGAGCCTGAGACAATGTCTCTAGTCTCTTCACGCACCCCCTGGACACAAAGAGCCCTTATTTGCTATGTTCCAAATTCTGGAACAAACCACTTTCGGAATTCTCCTTCTATTGCATTCCTCAACAATCCCAGCAACTTACTATACCTTTCTGGAAACCATCAGTTCCAGCGCTTGGCTGCATAGATGCCTCGTGAAATATTTATGCCAGAGTAGACAAAAACCAAACAATAAAGTGGTGAATCCAGCTGTGTTTGGATTTTTTTCCTACATCTGGTTTGGCCCCAGATGTGGACTCAGGCCCACATCCCACGTGGCCTGGCCAAGAGACACACAGACCCTACTCAAAGTGCAGCTAGATGAGTAACAGATTGCTCAAGCTCTCAAATCTGTTGGCTCTGCTCTGAGTCATACTCCAGCCATCTGAGGTGAAATCTTCAAGGGCCTTTTCTTCCTGTCTGTTTTTGCTGTCACAGAAGCTGCAGTGAAAGCTCCAACCTCCTTTGTGCTCTGATTTTAACCACATTCAGGAAGTCTCCTGGAATATTGCTCATTTTACATACCTCCACCTGGGCCAGAGGTTGAATGGTCACTGGCTCTCAAAATGTCAGATCTATAAGGGCCCAGAGGTCACCTAGACCAACCCACTTCCTTTCTCAGTGAGGTGACTGAACTCCATCTGAGGGAGTGACGTTCTCAATATTCTATTGTATGATGATGACAGAACCAGGCCAATATTTAATAAACTAATGCAAGTGGACATCAGAATCAACCATTGCCCACAAAATAAAACCCACTAATGGCTCTGGTTCCCCCAGAATTTTCTGAAGCCCAAATCTCCTCTTAATATTCCACTAAGAGCTGAGTTTTACCATACCTATATATTTCTCAACAAATCTAAGCATTTTCCCCAAATCTCCCCCCTCCTTTCCTCTTAGACCCCTACCTCCCTAATCCTATTGGTCTTCATCTTACACCTTCTTACACCTATTCTTTGCCAACTTTGCCAGATCACAGGAAGATCCAAATATCTGATTTCTTGCTCTGCAAATTTTCCCAGATTCCTAGTCCCAGAAATTTGAATGCAGCCCTCCCTTCTCTATCTAAGACAGATGTTCCTTTTCTCTTCTCCAGTGAAACCCTCTTTGAGCCCAGGAGTTAGACTCAGAACTGGCCAAGGGATTTGAGCCCCTGCCCTCCTCCCACTGCCCCCTCCGTCTCCTGTGCTTAGGCTGAACTTACATAAGCCACTTGTTGCTGGCTCCGATCCATCTGGCAGCCCTGGGTGGAACATCACTGAGCCCCCAGAGGGAATGCTGTACTCACCTAGTTCCTCAGGGAGGGTGTCTCCCATTTCCCTGTGCTCAGGGTTTCCTGAGAGAGCTAGGAGGGGCACATAGGAGGTTAGTAGGATTATGAGGTGGGGCTTTAGTTCTCAGGACCAAGGACCAGGGGAGGATTGGGTTAGAACCAACATGACCCATCCCTCACATGTCCTCTCCTACCTACTCCCAGCTGCCCTGCCCAGGAACCACTCTGGCTTGTAAAGGCTAGTCAGGGAGCCTTTTAAGCCAATAATCCCATGGGGATTCCTAGGAGTGTCTTCCTTAGGCTTACTCTGCCTTTTAAAAGCATTCCTCTTTTTCTCGGTATCTCAATACCTCCATGTTTATTTATTATCAGTAACTGGGGTCCTGCTATCAATGAATTGCAAAGTGTTTTGTGAGTTATTAGTAGTATTATTTTCTCTTTCTCAGTGGCCTACAGCACCCTTTTCTCTTTCCTTGAGCACTATCCTAGCCACAAAATTCCCCATTTCTATATCTTGGCCTCTGTGCCAGGAACGTTCTTCTAGGCCTCTTTGCCTAGCTAATTGCTACCCCAAACATCACCTCCTCTACTGTGGTAATTGCTCATATATATGTGCCTTCTACTATCTGTTAGGCATTGTTATGAGAGCTTAATCCTTATTCATTGTCAAAATAATCCCATGAGGTGGGTCCTATTAGTATCCCCATTTTCCAGATAAGGAAACCGAGGAACAGAAAAGTTGAGCAATTTACCCAAGGTCATATTGCTGCTGAGCTAGCTGTGAGCTAAAATTTGAATCCATGTAGTCTGGTCCCAATCTGTACCTCAATCACTAAAATATAGTGTCTCCCCATGAGAACTTCTCTAACTGCCCCAGAATGGACTGGCTGCTATAGTTTGAATCTTGAGTGTCTCCCAAAGACCCTTGTGTTCAACCTTTGGTCCCTAGAACAGTGGTACTGGGAGGTGGTGGAACCTTTCAGAGGTGGGCCTAGTGGGAGGTCTACAGTTCATTGGGGGTGTGTCTTTGATTTGCTATAGACACATATTCCCAGTCTCTTCCTTGCTTCTTGCTTTCTGACCACGAGATGTTCCTACTGTGATGTGCTGCCTTGTCACAGGCCCAAAGCAATAGAGCCAACTGATCATAGACTGAAACCTCCAAAACTGTGAGCCAAAATGAACCTCTTACCTTTACAAACTGATTATCTCAGGTATGTCATTATAGTGATAAAGCTACTAATACACTGGGTTATGGTGCCCCATTTATATCACTAGAGAGCCTTTTCATTTCTCTGTCATTGTTCTTACTCCATCTTACAATTATTTATTTGTACTTCTGTCTTCCCCACACTGCTGAGTACTCCTGAAGTCAGGAACTAGACTTCTTTATCTTGGCATCATCTACAGTGTCTAACACAGTGCTTGACACAAAAACAAGTTCATTTGAGCCTTGCTGAATGGATAAATTAATAAATGAATGAATGAATAAAATACAGCTGTATCTGAATGTTAAGGATTTGCTAGTTCAAATATAGGGGTTCCAGCAATATCTAGGGTTAGGGCCTCTTCTAAGCAGGAACTAATAACAAAATCAAGGAAAACCACAAACCTGAAGTCCGCTTTCGCTTGAGGTAGATCGTGACTACTACAATAGCCACAATGGCTACTACAACAATCCCGATAACCACAGGCACAATGATCATTTCCAGTAAAGGGTGGGTCGACTTGAGCCCTAGGGAAAACAGATCTGAGAACATGCTCCCTGTTCTCACTACCACCCTCTCACCCTCCTCCAGCAGGATGGTCCAGTGCCCATCACCTGAAGCTCTTCTTTGACTAAGTCATCCACAGGTACAATACTTTACCCCACAACCTCATCCGCCCAGAGTTTTTATGGCTGAACTTGGGTCTCCCCCTTATTCAAGTTTCTCCACCAAACTAATAAAGGTATACTAGTGAGTGTCTAAGAGGAGAGGGACAGTGCTCAGGGGCAGTGGGGACTGTGGGCATGAAGCCTCCTACTGTCCAGAACATGCCAGCCTTCAAGAGGAAATGGTCAAAACATGGGACATGAGAAAAATTGAGGTGAACTTTAGCTCTTAGCAATTTCCAGGAGTTTAAGGAACCTCTGTATCAATGAGAGAGCTCTATTTCACTACTATTCTCAGTATGGTACCTATGTTTCAAAGTGGGACGACAGCCTTGTCACTTATCACCCAGGAACTGGGGGCTCTTAGCTCTGGCTCCTACTCCTTCCCACCGGTTTCAACAAGGCCTCTACAACTCTCTCCTTTGTCTCAGCACCCAACTTTGCTACCATAGCATTTCTCAGATCTCCATGTGGTCTATATGATTTTAACCTAACCCCTGTGCAACCCTTCCCTACATTTTAACAGAGTTCCCATACTTTGGACAGTGATGGTCACAGATTTTGATGAGTACGGCGTCCTCCCTACACTTCCTCTGCAGGAGTAATCACCACTGTGACTGCGGTTTGCTGACAGGATGGAGAAGTTGGCATTGAAATGGGAAAACTGCTTGGAATTTCCATTCTGGTAGAATGTGATCTTGTTCAGAGGGTTGTTCTTCCAGCTGTGGCACCTCAAAACAATGGTGTCCCCCTCCTGGAACACCAGTTGAGAGGTCTGGAGCAGCAGCCAGTCTGAAAAAACACAAAAGGACAACAGGATCCAGGATGTCATGGCTCAACTCTGAGACTCAGACCATCACTACTGGTGGAATATGATGTGCAGAGGGAAGGGCTTAAGTTTGGAATCAGGCAGTTTAATCTCTAATTTTGGATTCATTCATTTATGAGCTCTGGATTCTTGGGAAATTTTTAACTCTTCTGGGCCTCAGTTTCTCATCTGTGCAAACAGGCATTATAACACTATGCATCTAACAGTTTCTTGAACACAGCCAGTATTCCGAACACACTCATCTTCTCTGTTCTTTCCTGGGAGAAGGCAGCTGCAGTGCTCTCCTGTCAAGGACACAAGAGACTTGGATATATATAGTCCCTTCCCTAGGGGAGGAAGGGAGGAACTCAGTCTGACTGAGAAAAGGACATTTGAGGACAATGCAGCAGATCCATGTTTCAGAAATAACAGAAATTCTTAAACCTCCAACGAATGTCAGTTTACTTGATAAATATTAATAAATGTACAGCCTCAGTTCAATAGGATCTCTGAAGGCAATATCACAGGTGAACTGTGACCTTGCTGTATATTTTTTGAGGATATTTGGGAATAAGGTAATGGGAGGTGCCTAATGAAGAGTAACAGTAACAATAGTCATTGTTTGTTTGCTTTTGTGGTACTGGAGATTAAACCCAGGAGTGCTCTACCACTGAGCTACACCCAGCCCTTTTTATATTTTATTTTGAGACAGAGTCTTACTAAGTTTCCCAGGCTGGCCTCAAACTTGTGAGCCTATTGCCTCAGCCTCCGGAGTTGCTGGGATTACAGGCAAGTGCCACCATGCCTGGCTAGCAATAGATGTTGTGATCACATAGTGGCTCTTTATAGAGAGCCTACGATTTTGTCATTGATCTGTTCAGCAAACATTTATTAAGCCCTGCCCTATCTCAGGTACTGGAAATACACAGATGGAAGGAGACGGAGGGCACCCAGCACTATGAGAGGTACAGAGATCAGGGAAATGATAATTCTCTCCAGAATATGACAAGTGAGGCATTAGTATACGCATTGTTCAGATGAGGAAACTGAAACTTAAGCATTAGATGAATTCATCAGATTTATATGGCTAGTAGTTTCCAGGGTCAGGATTCAGTCATAGTCTGTGTTATTGTTGTTGTTTTTTGCTTGCTTGCCTGCTTTCTAATTTATTTTTGCTCTACCATAAAAAATGGAAGGGTTTTTGTGATGAAGGGACTTCCTTCTGCTTCTCTCACACTCAGCTGTGTGTCTGTGGCTTTTGGCACCCTCTTGCTCAATCAGGACTATTGCAAAAATTAATCATTCATATATGCTGAGAAATTTCTTAGGAATTTGGACCTCCACCCGACATACAAAGTAAAAAGGTGGGTGAAAAGGGAAATGACTGGGCAAACAAGCACCTCATGTCGATGTTTCCCAGTAAACAGACCACCTCCCTTTTCCACAAACCTCTGCAGTGTAAGCAGATTCAATCTCTCCAAGGCCCCTCCCTGAACTTCCTCTACTGACCAGAAAATACATCCAGATGCACGGGGTCACTGAGGCTTGTCTTGTCCATTTGACACCGGTACTCCCCATTGTTATTGTTCTTGGCCTTAAACTTGTAGCTGGGCTGAGTCTGGCCTGGGATGAGGCTCCCATTGTGGAACCACTGAGTAGAGTGGTGGTTCTCAGGATTGCGGGTCCCTTGACATTTCAGTGTCACATTGTCTTCCTGCAGCACCTGGATCCATGGGGGCTCAAGTTTCACCACAGCCTTCGGGAGATCTATGGAGGGGCAGAGAGAGGAGACAGTTTGAGCAAAGGGAACCTCAAAAGCCTAAGCAGACTTTGAATCCCAAAGAAGTATCTTTATTCCTATTGGGGGCACCAAGAGTAGAATCAGGCCCAGGAGGCTTTGGCAACTGAAGGCATTTCTTATTACTCATACAACCCACCACCAGGAGCCCAGGGAACTCAACTGATTCTCAGAAGTAGAGGGCAAGAGGAAAAAGGGAAGCCAGTTGTGGTGGAACATGTCTGTAATCCCACCTACTTAGGAAGCTAAAGCAGGAGGATCACAAACTTGAGGCCAGCCTGGGCAACTTAGCAAGACCTTGTCTCAAAATAAAGTAAAATATTAAAAGGGCTGGGGGTGTAGCTTAGAGGTAGAGCACCCCTGAGTATAATCCCTATACTGAAAAACAAAAAGGGAGGGCATGGAAAAGGAGAGAAGCAGGCAAGGTAAATACCCTAAAAATAAATAACATGCCAAGAAATATCCTAACAGATTGTTCTATCTATCTATCTATCTATCTATCTATCTATCTATCTATCTATCTTTATCTCTCTGGATGTTCACTTTGCTCCCCTATAAACTGAGGCACATTTGGACACTAGTGATACATTTTTTCCAAAGCTTCGTCTAGACAAGAGGGGACATCTGGCAAGTGGAGATGTCAGACATAAGAGTTAGAGATCAGGTTTCTGTTGCAATCTGATGTCATTCCTTATCCTTAAATAGGAGGTCAGAATGGCCAGGTCTCATACTCAAGCATATAGGAGTTTCTGTGTTCTCAGAAGAATAAAGAGAGGAAGAAAAGCTAGAGGGTCAGTCCTGGGGGGTGGGAGGAGGTTGAATGTACAGATGAAGAACTACCTGGCAGAGGTCACTCCAACAAAGCTCTCTCTGTCAAGAGAACAGGACTTGAAGCCCTCAGATCCACTCAAAGTAAAGAATTTAACAACATGAGACAGTCTATGCATATCATATTATTCTGTATGTCCTTGAATTTTATTTGGAGAGAGGAAACTTGTTTTCTAATGAGGTTTTTAAAAGAAAAATTATATTTTGATATAATGCATAATAACTACACATATTAATGGAGTACATGTGATACTTTAATACATATATACAATGGATAATGATCAGATCAGAATAATTGACATATCCATCACTTCAAACATTCATCATTTCTTTGTGTTGGAAACATTCAAAATCCTTTCAACTAGCTATTTTGAAATACACAACTAATCACATTGCTAACCATAGTTTCCTTTCTGTTGTGAAACCCTAGAAATTATTTCTCCTATCTAACCATACTTTCTAACTGTATCTCAGTACCCATTAAATATCCTCTCTCCATTCTACCCCCTCCCTTATCCTTCCCAGGTTCTGGGAAGTAACTACAATTCTACTCTACTTCTTCAAGATCAACTTTTAAGAAATTCTTGAGTTTTTTGTTTTGTTTTGTTTTTTAGTTGAGAGAGGATAAAATTTATATTTTCTGTGACAATGTTTGTAACATCTCACAGTAATAGAACCAGAAGGGTTGAAGCACCCACCCCCTTCCTCCTTGGAGAGAAGAAGCACAGACAGGGCATCTCTGGGAGCGATGACCCTTTCCTGGATCTGACCTGGTACAGAAGTTGGTTGTTGGTCTATTCAGAGTGCCTCCAGATAGAACATTGGGGCAGGGAGAGAATGTAGGTAGAGTACTTACCAGGTATCCCAGCAACAGGAGCTGTAAGAAAGAAAGCAAAGATCAACCAGGACCTGAACCCCCACAATGAACAGCCTGCCCAGAGTTCTTTCACCCTTAGTCCAACCCTCAGCCCACACATCCCTAGATGCATTTTGAAAAGTACTGAGAGCTCCATCCCTAATAACAGAAAGAAAAGAAGGAAGGAAGGAAGGAAGGAAGGAAGGAAGGAAGGAAGGAAGGAAGGAAGGAAGGAGATACAAATCACTGTCTTATTTATTTATTTTTACATCATTGTTTGGCTTAACACTTGACTGATTAAAATAAAAATACAACAATAATCCCAGGCAGGAAGATCACAAGTTGGAAGCCACTCTCAGCAACTTAGCAAGATCCTTTCTTAAAATAAAGAAGAAAAAGGGCTGGGGGTGTAGCTTAGTGGTACAGCCTTCACTGTGTTCAATCCTCAATAGTGCAAAATACAAATAAATAAATTTGAAAAATAAAACAAAGTAAAAATGCCTCTGGAAAGTTCCCTGTTGGACTTTACATATGATTTATGCTTCTGTGTAAATGATTTTGCCAGTCTATCTGTTCTTTCGCCAAGGAGTGTATAGAGATTACATATTGTCCATGATCATTGTAGAAAAATGGAAAATAGGCATGATAAAAATATTATTACCTTGGCAATATACCCTGTGGAATTTTCCCCATGAAAACATACACATATGTTTACATACAGACATACATAAATAGTAAATGAGAAAATAAACTATTTAAAAAGTATTCTCTTACCTAATTTTTCACTAAGCAATATAAAATCCACTACATTAATCTGTCTTCATATTGATTTCTTCTTCTTCTTCTTCTTTTTTTTTTTTGATAGTACTAGAGTTTGAACATGGTAGGCAAGTGCTTTACCACTGGTGCTACTGAGCTGCACTCCCAGTCCTTTTTATTTTATTTCGAGGAAGAGTCTTATTAAGTTGCCCAGGCTGGCCTAAAACTTGTGATGCTCCTGCCTCAACCTCCCCTGAAGCTGAAATCATAGACATGCACCACCATGCTAAGTCTATGTTGTCATTTTTAACAATTGCATTCTGTCCTACTATTTGGGTCTCCAATGATTTATTTTACATTTCTGCTGCTTGATAATTAAACCTTCCAGATTCTTGCTATTAGGCAAATCTGAAAGGAGAAAGAGTGTGCAAAAGGACACCAGATCTGTGTTTTCATGTGCAGGCATGTGGAATGACACTGGGTTAGGGAAAGAACTTCCCAATTGGAGGCAAAATAGGGGCCAGGAAGGGCCAGGAAAACTGAATGGAAGTGGATTTGTGGGCACCATCATTGAGTGAAGAGCAAAGCAGGGTCCTTAGATGAATTAGAGCCCAATGCCTATGCCTGTGTAGGGCATGTTTATGTGTCCGTCTGTTTCAGGGGGGTTTCCTCTTATATTTGGACTGAGAGAAAGTCAAGAGGCTTTCAAAATATGTGTGTACTTTCAGGGACAAACACATGGAACGTAAGTGAAGCAGAAACAAGGAACCAGGAACGGGCACTGTGGAGAGTTGGCCTGGGAGTTTGGAGAACCAGATGCTCGTCCTGATGTTACTACATCTCTAATATGTACACTTAGACCCACTGTGCTGTTCCTTTGCAATCCAAAGCTAATCAACAAAACTGCATTGAATTCCTCCTGTCCCACAATACATTCTGTGTTCACCTAAAGTTCACCTGAAAGATCTTAAGTCCCTGTCCCCCACTGAAACCAACAGTCTAATGGTGGAGATAAGCATATGTATAATTTAATGTAAAAGATATTGCTTCATGACATTGGAGGAGTGTGGATAAAATACTATGGAGATTCAGAGGAGAAAAAGATCCTAAGACTTGGCAGAATTTGGAGTTGGTAAGAAGGAGAATCCCACAGAGGAGCTCATAATCATCATGTACATTCAAGGACTGATAGGATTTTGACATGTAGAGAGAGGAGATATTATTCTATGGGAAGGACTGGAAGGTAATTGGCAAAATTTCTAGAACATTCCAAGCCAATTTCTACTTCATTTCTTATCTCTGCCAAAGCACTTCTGATAATGAGGAACAAAGCTAAAAATCTAGGTAGGAACATACTTTGGAGGGCTCCTAATGCCAAAATGTGTGGCAATGGGTAAAAGCACAGAAAGAGTTTAAATGTTGACTTTGCCACTGCCAAGTGACCTTGAACAAAATGACTTTCAGTTTCCTTGCTTGTAAAGGAGATAATGACAGTGGCACCTACTTCATAGGGTTATTATAAGGATTAAATAAGAGGATAATCCAGATAAGACTTGACATACAGTAAGTTTAAAATAAATATAAATTAACTTTTATGTTTGCTCTTTAGTTCAACGAACAGTGGAGAGTCACTCAGAATGTTCAAATTGGAGCCCAAAGTGCTGTGTCAGATGAATTGGAACAGGGGAAGTAGAAAGAGATTAGTTAAGAAAAAGATAATTATTGTGATCCCAAATACACATGGGTGACCTGTCCAATATCCGGCTTCATTATTCCATGACCTACTCATCCCCAGTGAATGATTATACAACTTAGCACACCTGCCCACGTTATACCCAGAGACCATCATCACCAGAAGCCATACTGATTTCAAAAATCACAAAATCATATATCCCATGCTTCAATCACGACCTCCTCTCCTTCCACTTCATCTGCTCAAGTACAGCTCCCATAATCATCTTGACCTCATCAAAAATCCCAAAGCATTTACTCTACCACTCTATTCCTAAGCCCACACTTGCCTGTATCTCCCCCATCTAGCTTAGATTTGATGATTCATCATTATAATAATCTCATTGCAAATCCCCTCAAATCCCTTGCCCTTTTCTGTCTCAATCAAACGCACATGTATTTTCCATATATTTATTTGTTCAGTTGGTTTGACAGTAGGAAGTAAAGAAGAGGGTACAGATCTTAGAGAAAGAACAGAGAAGTTGGCACCTAATAAGATGATATAAGTGGATGACATAAGTGGATGACCAGGGAAAAGGTGGTTGTGCTCATGCACATATAAATATTAGAAGGATACAAATATTTATAAGAGGAAGATGGCAAGTTAGACTTTTAATATATTTTGTTTCTGAGCTCTCAAACATTCAGAGATGTCCAATTAACAGAATATGAAATTATATAAATTATATAATTATATAAATTGTATATGTGTATATATAAAAGTAAACAAGAGAAATAGGAAAGGAAAGAGAAAGATCGTATACTTTAGGTCAGCAAAACTGTCTTATCATGTTCACTGATAAGTCCCCAAGTCCTAGAAGAGTGTGTGCCACATAGAATTAACATGAGGTTTAAACAAGGCAGTCTGAGAATTAGCAGAAGCAAAGGTGTTATAAATGAAGTACATTCACACATTGCCTGGCTGTAAAGGAGAATCTATTGAAGGCACAATGAGGAACATGGTTAAGAAGGGTAGAATCGGAGCTTTTCCACTAGTCAATGGACCAACACTGAAGGCATGTATGAGTGCAGTGAGTCAGCCATAGCTGTACTTGAAGATGCTGTGACTTCATCATGAAAGGACGAGAGGGGAGTCAGGAGCAATCAAGACACAACAAAAGGTGATATAAAATTGTCATCGAGTGGTGCTGGAGATATAGCTCAGTTGGCAGAGTGCTTGCCTCACATGCACAAGGCCCTGGGTTCAATCCCCAGCACCACACACACACACAAAAAAATTGTCATCAAGTAATGATGAGATGATGACCTAAACATGGATTACCAGATTACCAGAAAAGAATGAAAAAGATAAGAGTAGATACTCAGTGATTTAGCAAAAGGCAAATGGAAGAAAACACCAAAAATCTTTCCCAAGAGTCCTGCCCAGGTTACTGGCACTATTAGCACAAAACAGAAGCACATCACCTCTCTAGGTCAGCCTTCCCAAATAATAAATGAGAGGATTCAGTGCTCACCTTACATCTATTCTACTATAATCCACTCAAGGGGAAATTCTTTCTCTTTACCTCTGCCTCCTGCAGCCCTATATCCTCCAGCATTGAGAGCTGAGCTCTCCTAGAGCTGACTGGATTTCATTATCAGTCATAGCAGTAACTTGGGGGAGCTGCCCTTATGTGTTTAGGGTTGAAGCCCTAGGAATTGAGCTAGAGGAAACAGTTCTGCCATTAGGGGTCCCTCCGGCTTCCCCTAGGCTCTTACAACCACTTAGCACCATCACTTCCTGTCCCCTGGTCCACACCTGAGAACATGATCAGAAAATGGTCTTCTCACCTGGCTTAGCACACTGGCTTTCTCACTGATCAGAGCTAGGACCCACACCATGGTCTATGCAGCACCATGGTCTATGCAGTGAAAGGAGGCATGCGTGGTTTCTCTGATTCCACAATTGCTGATTCCAGAATTGCCCAGTTTTGTGGATTCTCTGGGCCCTGGTTCCCTGGAAAACTCAGATCCACCTATGCTTCTGCCCAGGGGGTCTCCTTTTGTGTTAAGAAAATGGGCTTTTGCCACATTTAGAGGTGAGGAGAGTGGCCATTGTCACCCCACAAAATGCATCTTAGAGCTTCCTTCACACCCATCTAAGGTAGCATTAGCTTAAGATTTAGTCCTATGTAAAACACAAATTTAAAGGGAAATACTATGGCCACCCATTTGCCACTCAGGTAGGTATAGGTTACTGTATTTCCTTGGGCAGATTCTGATGTTGAGGATGGCAGAGCATTCGGAGCCCAGGGACCCAGTGAAATTGACTAAAAGATAGTTAAGAAAAAAAAAAAAAAAAGAAACAGAAAAAAAAAAAAAAAAAAAAAAAAAAAAAAAAAAAGCCTTGCCAACTTTGATTTTCTAAGGATTGTTAGAGTTTGATCTACTTACCTCCATGCACCTGATTTTCCCAATACGCTTCCCATGTCACTGTCATCCCCTATCCAAGCTCAGTCCCAACCCAGGTATTCCTGTTCTTGTCTCCCTTCTGTGAGCCCCGACTCACCCAGAAACAGCACAGCTGTCCACAGTAGCATAGGGCCCAGAGTCTGTGAAGGCTTGGAGTCAGCCCACTCACTCCCAGTGGCAAGAAGAGGTAGGAACAAGGGGACTCCCATCACCCCCTAGAATAAGTTGGTTCCAACAGCACAGGCTTCTCTCCAGGTTTGGCAAATTCCAACAGAGGACAAACCAATTCTGAAGTTCAAAAGAGGAAGTGAAAAGAAACGGTCTATTTAGTCCTAGGCTCCTCCCCTTCCACCCTCTTTCTTTTCAACTGTTCCCTCCCAGAAGATTCAGGCTTTCCCAGAATGAGTCTGGATCAGTTCAAGTCACCGAAATTTTAGAAAATGGGAAGCAACTTCCTTTTTCTGGGGCAATAGCTGGCCTCGGCCTTTGAGAGAAAGAGGGAAATGGCCTCCCTAACTCGGCTTAGAACTTCTTAACCTCAGTCCCCATCCTCCTCAGAAAAGATAATTGAGAAGAATATACAGGCAAATTCTGGTGCCTCTTCCATTTGGAGATCCAGATACTAAAATCTGGACTCTTCCCCAAACTGACCATAGGGTCTTGAGATCACCAACCATCATTTGATATTTCTCTGATAGAATTCCTGAGTCACTTTTGGATTGTGGAAAGAGAGTAGGGGTAGGATGACCACACTCATCCTCATTATTTTCCTCCTATATTTGTTCATTTATTAATTTAATCAACATCCCAGTAAATATCTACTGAGCACCAGTTTGGGCCCTGGTTCTTTATCCTGGTCATTTCTCTCATCACTGTTCTCACCACTGTAGCATGCTTATGGTAAGTCCAAGTTAGAATGCCAGATAGCTTCTCAGAGCTTCAGGTTCTGGATCTGTTAAAAAAATGAAGATCATCATACTTATCAATTCAAGCAGAGTTTTTTAACCTCAGTGTTAATGACACTTTGCACCAAATAATTCTTGTTGTGATGACCTGTCCTGTATATGTAGGATGTTCAGCAGCATCTCTGGTCTCTACTCATTAGATGCCACTGGTTTCCCCCACTTGTTAAGAAAGAAAAATGACTCAAGATGTTGGCAAATGTTTCCTGGGGGTTTGTGTGTGGGAGGAATTACCCCTGGTTGAGAATCAGTGAACTCAAGATTTTTAGAAAATAAAAGAATATGAGTCGGCTGGGATGCAGCTCAATGGTAGAGTACTTTCCTAGCATGTGTAAGGCTCTGGGTTTGATCTCCAGTACCAGTACAGAGAGAGAGAGAGAAGAGAGAGAGGGGGAGGAAGAAAGAATATGAATGTGCTTGTTATATCATGGGTGTCTAATGAATATAACTTATTTTTTCTTGTTTTCTGTCATCATCCTCATTTGTTTACCCTTAACATCCCCAGAACATGAGATAATTGTGGGATCTGTCTTGGGGTCCTCTCCTACGGCCTCTCTCCCAAATGCTCTTTCAGGAAGCCAGCTGTAATACTCAAGGAAGTGACATTGTAAAACCTTCTCACGCTCTGTGGTCTTCAGAAACTTTCAGCAGCCCCACCCTCTCTGCCACATGCTTTTACTACTGGCACCATCTTATTCACTAACCCCCTTCAGCTCTTGTTGGGATAAACACCAGTCAGTGCCTAGGAAGCCCTGTTGTTCCTGATGGTAAGATAAGAAGGACTTCCAAGAATGTGGTAATATGCAAAAGGAGAATGGAAACTGGTCACTTCCCTTGTCTCCAGTCTTTAGGTGGGGATCAAAGCAGAGTGTCCTTTGTTCTAAAGGAATGTACTCATAAAACATCTGAAGAAATCTGTCTGTGCGGTAGACACACAACCTATTCTGTATACATTCCCTCTTCTTGTAGGTGAGGTGTGGCCCTCCATATTGTCACGTCTGCTACCACTGAGGAGTTCACAAGTAAAAAAAAAATGTCCAAACCTCTCCACTGAGTCCTCTAAGTTCTTTCTTTGGGATAACTAAATCTGCTGGAGCTTTTTCAGCTCTGGTACTAAACAATCCTTAACCAATTTTTAGGTAAAAATAATATTTTTACCAGTGAAGAGAGGTCAGTGGGCTGATATCAATACTTGACAAATATCATTAAAGGGATGAAGACATAGCTCATTGGTAGAACACTTGCCTAGCAAGTGTGAGACCCTGGGTTCCCTATTACCACACACACACACACACACACACACACACACACACACATTAGAAATGAAAGCTACATATAGCTAACAACTTGATATAGTTAACACACCCTAAGAAACAAATACAATACTTAATATGAAGCATATGCACACTTATTTTTGAGGAGACATTAAACTTACATTATCTCTAATTTTTACAATCATCCCAGAAGATAAATATTATCATTGTCATTTATACCTGAAGAAACTTAGCTTCAGAGAAGTCCAAATGATTTGTCCATGGCTAGATGATTAGTAAGTGGTAGAATCAGAATATAAAACCAGGTCTGTCCAATGTTAAAGACTTCATGTTTTCTTTTTTTTTTTTTATTTTAATTTGTTATATATGACAACAGAATGCATTATAATTCATATTACACATCTAGAACACATTTTTCAAATCTCTGGTTGTTCACAAAGTAGAGTCACATCCTTTGAAGACTTCATGTTTTCTATAATGAAACTACTACCTACATGCCTTATATGAGTCACAAGTGCACTGAACCATTGAGTGGCCCCCAGGCTTGGGAATAGCTGGGTGGGCCAGGTGCCCTGTGTGAGCAACCTCATTTGTTTACATCATTACACGTGTGATTTTCTCTGAGTGCCACGATGTGAAAATGGTCAGAAAGCTCAGCACACTGTACATGTTAATTTCCCGAATTGTCTCAAGCCCTAGATGTCACTACTCACCATTTCACTGAGATTAAAAAACTAGACCTCTTTTGGACAACTTATTAAAGGAGGTCATCGCAGAGCTGGGAGGGGCATTTTCAGACATGCTGAAACTGAAATAGGAGTCTCTTTTTCATCACAACTGGGAAAGCACAAAATATAAGGAGATATTTCTAAAAGAAAATGCTTACAAATATAAGGCATGCTATTTAAAACTGAAATATGCCAATCAGAAAAGAGAGTTCTTCAAAAAGGAGAGCTTGATATAAAATGTGTGTTTCTAGCAATGGAATAGGTGTGAGAGACTCAAAAGTCATGAAAGATGAGATAGACCCAGATTAAAATCCTCATCCCTTCTCAGCTGTGTGATCCCAGTTATATTATTCATCCTTTCTAAGCAATGTTGCCTCATCTATAAAATGGACATTACCTCAGTCCTTACTTTATAATGTGGTGAAGATTAAATAAGAAAATGAGAGAATAATTTCACTCAGAACCTGGCATATAAACTTCGTCTTTATCGTTATTATCATTAAAGACTAGAAAAGTGTAGTTCACTGCCTCCACTAGGGACTGGTGTTAATAGACTCACTTTGGGAAAAGCAGATAAATGCTATAAACTCAAATGTTTCCAACTTAGACACTCAGATTCCAGCCACTTGATTTTCAAGGCACTCTCTTCTCTACATTCTGGTTAGGTTTTGTTTCTCTTCCTCTTAATATCCTGGCCAATCTTTCAGTGGATCCCTGTGATTGCTTTATCAGTGTTTTCTAGAGCTTCCTGGTACAGCCACTTCCCCGTGAACTGAAGGACCCCAGGCTCCAGGGGTGAGGATTAGCTGCTGACTCTGGGGGAGGAAGCCTGGCGGGGGAGGCAGAAAAGAGAAATGACTGAGCTAAGGAGGCTGTGGTTTGAGGGATGTCAGCTAGATCCAAGCAGCAGCATCACCAGTCTAGACTGGAAACATCTTTGGGGAACTCAGGTCTTTGTGTTAAAGGATTGCATTTTAGAAATGCAAATACTCAAGGCTATGTGGATCATTAACTTTAGAATGTAAATTTGTTCACAATTACTTCAGAGAAATAGCTTGGTGAGGAGGTTTGATGAGAGTCAGATAGATAAACTAAAATGGGCCCATGCAAAGAGACCTCCCAAACCAAGACACGTTATGTGGCACTTGCTTTTTTTGGAAAGTTTAATGTATGCTTATGAAAGAATAGACATGTTATTCATGAAAATGTCACCCACCTGAGGAACTTACACAATGTGCCCACAAGTGATTAATGGCTAGGCTGTTTGACCAAAGAGGAATACTCTGACCTCTAAGTATAGGGTGGTGGCCATGAGACTTGATCCCTCTCACCTCCCAAAATCATATATATTGTAGGAGAGCTTAAATCTGAGCATGTCACTTGTCTTCTCATATCTGAGAAATGAGGGGTGCCCATACACTCCCTCTGAGTGTGCTGTTCTTAAATAAGTCTTTACTTGTTCCTTGCTTACTGACTCATTATGTAATTCTTTCTGTGATGGATGTCAAGAACCTGAAGGTCCCCCTCCAGTGACAAGAGGGATAGAGGCAATAATGTAGGGAAGAGAGCCCTTCCTAAGGAAGCCAAGACCCTTGACATAGTGAGGGGTTTAGACAACAAAGGGACATTTATCTCTAAGGACCTCAGTTAGAAAGGGAGATATGACACTCAATATGACCCAGCTGTATGCCACTGTATGACTTTGAGCACTGTATGACCTTGAGCATAGCACTGTTTCTCTGGAACTCAGTAAGTGAGGGAGTAAACTGGATGCTTTTTACCAGATGTGTCTTTTGCAAATATTTTCTCCCCAACTGTGGTTTTTCTTCTCATTCTCTCTCTCTCTCTCTCTTTTTTAATATCTTCATCTTTATTTATTTATTTTTATGTGATGCTGAGGATTGAACCCAAGGCCTCACACTTGTGAGGCAAGCACCTCTACCACTGAGCTACAGCCCCAGCCCTCTTCTCATTCTCTTGACAATGTCTTTTCTTCTTCTATTTTTAGAGCTGAAGGGGTTTTGTTTGTTTGTTTGTTTTGGTATAGGGGTTTGAACCCAGAAATGCTTGACCAATGAGTCACATGCCCAGCCATTTTTATTTTTTATTTTGAGACAGAGTCTTGCTAAATTGCTTAGGGACTAAATTACTGAGCTGGCTTTGAACTTGCCTCAGCCTCCAAGCTGTCTGAATTACAGGCATGGGCCATCCACCTTGCTTAAATCAGGCATGGTGGTGTATGCCTGTAATCCCAGAAACTTGGGAGGCTGAAATAGGAAGATCACAAGGCCAACCTCAGCAACTTTGCAAGA